CAAATCGTTGAAACTGTTCTGGGGACCCCTGACCACAGTGGTCAGAGTCTTCATGGAGACGATGACAAAAAGAAGCCATGTGGGCCCCAGGTACGAAAGTTCCAAGATGGGGCGTGCCTGGCATGAGAGGGCAGGAGGGGAGGAAGGGTAGACGGTGACATCGGGAGTATTGGGGCCAGATGCCGCCGTAAGGAGACGCGACTGTCATCACAAGTGGAGGATTTTGAGAACAGCAGTGACCTGCTCTGACTGGCATTTTACAAGGCCACACTAACTTCTCTGCTGAAAATAAAATATGGGAAGATGGGGACAGGAGCCCAGAGACCCAACAGGAGACGTGTGGGGATCCAGCCTGCGGGGCGAGGGTAGTCGGAAGGGGACAAGGATGGACCATGGGGAGCAACGGTTCCACCCTGGACCTGTCTTGGAGGTGGAGCCAACAGGACTTAGTAACAATATGGATTGGGGACACGAGAAGAGGAACTCAAGGGTGAGACCAAGATGTTTGGCCAAGTTGAAAACATGGCGTGACCCTCTCCTGGAAAGACCAAGGCCACAAGGAACGCACGTCTGGCCCGTGAGGGGTGGAGGACCGAGGTCCGGTTTTGAGCATGGAGATGTTGAGCAGGCAGCTGGACATGAAGTTCAAGAGAAGGTCTGTCTGGAGACATTAAGTTTGGGAGTCATCAGCAGGTGATGGCATTTAAAGCCACGGGACCAGATGAGATCACTGAGGGAGTCAGCGAGGACCGAAGAGAGAAGAGGCCCAGGAGCCAGCACTGGGGCGCCCCGCCAGGTGGAAAGGGGACCAGGAGACACCAGCGCCAGGCACCCAGGAGGAGCAGCCGGTGAACTGGGAGGAAAAGAGCAGCTCTCTGGGGGAGCAGGCAGGGAGCCAGGGGCTAAGCTGCTGATCCTCAAGTAAGAGGAACCCCCAAGCGCTGGCCATACGGCTGCTAGAGCCCCCAGAGAGCGGCCTCAAGGGAGAAACGGGGGAGAGGACTGCAGCCAGGGCGTGTGGCCAGCTGTCAGGAGGAGAGCAGCCCAGAGCAGAGCAGGCAGGAGGGCAGAGAGAAGGCCATTCTTTTTTTTTTTTTTTTAATGGTGATTATTGTCCTTTGGGTGAAATGTGGGAGGAATCGTAGCATGTTTCTGTGGGGACAACTCATGAGGGAAGAAAATAATTGGTGACACTAGCAAGAGGGAGGACTTGCTAGGAACCAGGCTGGCACGAGGTCCTGGAAAGGTCAGGAGGGACGGACACCCAGCGAGGCGGAGGGGCTCCCTCCGTGGCAGGGGCGCAGGCTGCTCACCTAGAGAAAGGAGAGGAGGCAGAGGACGTGGGCACAGGTGCGAGGGGTGGCCAGACAGACTCTTCTGACTTTTGCTATTCTCATGGGAGAAGAGTGGCCAGTGGCTGCATTGGGACAAGTGGTGACGGCGTTGGCATCCCGAGGGACACCACAAACCCAGCTCTACAGAAGAATGCATGGTCTCTGACCTTGTGCCTCCATCCCTCCAAGAATCTGCTGTCCCCCGGTTCTCTGCCTTCTCTGTGGCTCTGTGCTGCTGTCTGTCTGGGTGTCTCTGTCTGTCTGTCCTCTCCCGGTGGCCCTGTTTATCCTTCCTGTCTCTCTTTGTCTCCCCTCCCTCCATGTTTGCATGGGGGCCCCTCCTCTGGGCCTGGGTGTGGGGCTGACTTTCTGGACCCAGGCAACAATTCCAACCAGAACTTCCAGTTTCTGCTTGACAAAGAATCCATTCTGAAGCCACGCTAGGGTGGGGCCTCCTCAGGGAACCTCGGCTTCTCACTTGTGGCCCTCGGCTGAGGCCAGGCTCCATTCTAAGCACCTGCAGATATTAACTCATTTAACCCTTCTCTAGGAGGTAGGTGCTATGCATGGTGCCGCTTAACAAATGGGGACACTGAGGCCCAGAACAGCCACCTCATCTGCACTCAGGAGCTCCACTAGGAACTCTGCCTCTTTTTCTAGTCCTTCTTCCTCCAGCCCTGCTCCCTCTACACCTGGATCTGTGACAAGCGTACCTGGATTTGGTCCAGTTCCTGTGTGACTTTCAGCCGTGGGCTCCTCTCACCTTGTTAATCAAGTGAGGAGGTGGAAGGAACCCAGCCCTCGGTGGGTCCATGACCTAACTTCAACGCCAGCCAGCCAACCTGAGTCCTGCCAATCATAACCCCTAAAATCAACAGTGACCTGGCACTCACCCCTCAGCAAATGCCAAAGCCAGCCGCCCCCACTCCAGGCTCCAGTCCCTCCCAATGAGAAAGCTTCTCTGGAAGTCTGGACCCAGGCCACAAGAGGGCACAGGTACCCCGACTTCCCACACAGCGTGTCACCTCACTTCACCTGGCATCCTCCCTCCTGCCACCCCACCTGACCCCAACGCTCAGAAGGAATGAGCTCAGCACCCACTCAAGGCCCTGCCCTGCCCTGTGGGGTGGAGGAAGTCCAGGGTGTGGAGGACAGTAGCCTTTCCGTCACCTTCAGAAGTCACAGCTCTGACCCAGGCCCCCACACAGGCACCACAACCTACCCGGGGGACAACTCCCTGTCTATCCTCATCCCCACTGGACACCCACAGCCCAAGATCAACCACCTCAACACCTCCCCATCCAGGACCTCAGCCTCCGCCCCAAATCCAGCCCCGACCAACAGACCCCATCCACAGCACTATCCCCTGTCCCTCCCGTCTACAGCCCAATCCTATCCCCAAAGTCAACTCTAGAACCACCTACAGCCCCAACCGTTCTCACCCAGTGGCCATTCTCCCCCCAGACCTGTGGCATTCCAGGGCTGACCCCCAGACCCACCAGAAGCCTAATCCAGACTTTCTTCCTAGTGAAAGACTTTGAAAGAGACCCAACAGGTATCACCCTTAGAAAACTAAGTGGGTTACCTGGTTTTGTGGGTACCTGGTTTTCTGCATCTTTTACTGACTCTGAGCTACTGTGCAACTTCCAGTTGCAGATAGCTGATAGCAACACAAATAACTCCTGTCCCAAACCATGCAAACGAACTTCATCCTGTAGAAGTACCACTAATCACCCTCCTCCCCTCCACGCCACGTGCAATAAGCCACTTTCATGTAAATTCATTTCACACTCCTAATCCCCCAGATGTGTAACATCTTTGCTGGTTAGTCAGTTATTAATGAGTCAAAATATAATCTTTGTTTGACATGTTCATTTTGTATCTGTTGCATGTTCCTAGTTACTCCTTTTTTAAAAAGTATCTTTCGATCGCCACATCCCATGTGTGACTCCCCAGTTTGGGCGGGATCCCCTTCTGCCATTTGTCTCTGCCCTTGATTTTCATGATGACAACACTGCCAGCTCTCTCTTTCCAAACTTCACCTGGTCCCCATCCTTGGCTTTTGTCCAAATCCTGACGACACCTCCATCCTTCTTAATCCCTAATCCTGCCCCCTCCGCCCCACTGGGATTAACTCACAACCCCACCCCACCACAGTTCCTGGAGCCGCCTACTCATCCCCAAACACCACCCCTTCCTCCTTCCTCTTCCCCACCCCCATCCCAGCCCCAGAGCCTCAGGATTTCTGCTGCTCCCTCTCCACCTACCTTTCATGGACTCCCTCACCCCATCCCACGGCTCCTAAAAGGCCATTTATCCAAAATGGCTTTCCCAGGCCCAGTCCCTGCCCCCGTGCAAGCCCAAGGGCAGTTGACTTTCTACCCGTCTAACCCATGAGTCCTTGTGCCTGATGGCTGTGGGCATGTCTTGGGGAGGGGCCGACAGAATAAATAAGGCCATCTCTGTGCATTTCAGAGAAAAAGGGGCTGGAGACACCGGGAATTGCAATCTGATGTGTTGGGTTTGCTGTTGAGAGACAAGCGGGGGTGAAGCTGGCCATGGGATCGGGGCAGATCCCATGGACATTCTTAGGTCAGAAGTGAAGGGACCCAACTCCAGCAGGGAAATCAGGTCACTCAGGGACAAGCAGGAAGGGACAGACCAGAGGTGGAGGGTGCAGGGTGTGGTTAACCGGGGTTGAGATTTGGAAGTAAGCTAGAAACTGGCCATCTGGGAGCTGCCATGTGTTAACACGTGGACCCGCGGAGGAGGAGGCTAGGGCATGGGTGAAGACCTTTGAAGCTGGGCTGGGCTAGGGGCTTGGGGGATGGAAATGGGCTTTCCCCTTCCCCTTGCTGCCCAGAAAGTTCACGGTGGGTTCACCTCCAGCTTGGGCGAGGCCAGATCTGGGTCCCAGCTTGTCCTAGAAGCTCCGCCCCAAGCGGAGGGCCAAGCCCAAGCTGGGGGGTGCCTAGGGAGAGCCTGCTGAGCCATTGGGGGTGGAGAGGGGAGCCAGCCACCGGGAAATGCTGAGCGAGCTGGGGGAGGGAGTTCAGGGGTTAAAAGCCATGGGTCGGGGCTGAAGTTCTAGGCTGCTGGCGGCTGAAGTTCCTCACGGGGCCCCTTACTCAGGTAGGGTCGCGGTGGGGGGGGGGGGGGCGGAGGGGAGGAGGGGGATGGCCAAAGTGGAGCGGAAGGAAGGGGATGCGGGAGAACAGCTGAATCAGCGAGGTGCGGGAGAGGACCTAGGAACCTGCAGAGAAGGAGCGACTGAAGCTCAGGACAGACAGAAACTCAGCTGGAGACCAGGGGTCGGGACGGTCTGGGGAGGGGAGAATGGGGTCAGAGCCCGGAAGAGGAGAGAGTGTCCTGCGGACCCCACTCGCTGGAGGGCTGGGAAGAAGGGCGTGGCCTCTGCAGCGAGGAGCTGCGGGCAGGAGCCCCAGGGGGCGCACGCGCCCCTCCCTCCTTGCTCCCCGGCCCCCCAAGGATGGAATGGGGGAGGGGCAGACTCCAGACTGAGCTTTCGAAGAGAAAGGGGAGGGGCGGTGCAAGGCTCGAGGACGTGGAGAAGATTTCCCACGTGGGGGTTCCCGGCCACTTTGCAACACCCCCTTCAACTTCTTCTCAGGCCCCGCCCGCCCTGCCCCCCACCCCAGAGCCGCCATGTGGCCCCTGGCCGCTGCCATCGCCTCCCTGACCGTGGCCTTGTCAGGAGGTAAGCATGCATGGGGGCGGAGGTGCGGCGGCCACTGGCGGCGAAGGTGGGAAGGGTCAGGCCGGGAGGAGGGGGCGTGGGACCCGCCAGCTCCGCCCCCCGCCCACTCGGGGCCAGCCGCGGGGCCAGCTTCCTGCTTGTCCCTGAGTGACCTGATTTCCCTGCTGGAGTTGGGTCCCTTCACTTCTGACCTAAGAGTGTCCAGCCGTCCACCTCCCAGCCCCTACAACACAGGCACCACAGCTTCCCAAGTTCAAGTTCAACCAGGGGCTCCAGAAGGACGCAAAGTCAATGCTGAGCAAGTAGCTTAGTTCCCTCGTGCCTGAGTTGTTTCCTTCTGTAAAATGGGACCCTCTTCGTATGTGCCAGCAGGGGGTGTTGTGAATGAGAAAATGAGGGAATGCTTTCAAGGGCTCATGAGTGACAGATGGGACTTCCCAAGTTAGTCATTATGACTTTATTGGTCTCTCTCTAACAATTCTCATCCCCTTCCAGGACTTTATAGTTTGTTCTTCCCTTAATCCTTGGGGTGGCCCTGCCCAAAATTTGTCCCCAAAGATTCCTGTTTGCACTTGAGTCCCTGTTCCTTGGATTTGCAGGCGAGACCCGGGGATCCCATCCAAACCCCATTCTTTCATTCTGAAAGTAGCTGTTGAACACCAGGCCCTGGGCTGGGTCCCTGCCCTTAGCACCCAAACCCCAGCTGGGGAGGACAGCGTTATTCAAACAGTTGCCCAAATATCGAGTTAACAGTTGATTCACACTGAGATGAGACCAGGCAGGAGATGCCAGGAGCCGGGAGGGGTAATGGCGGCTCCTGGCCTGGAAGTCCTACTAAGGAGCTTGCTCTGGAGCCCAGATCTGGTAGAGGAGGGTCCCCCAGAGCCTGACACCTGGCATCATCCTTGGCCCGAAGGTGGGGTGGCTCCTCTCCCTTGGCCACACTCCCAGGACTCACACCCATGCCCCTCCTGGGTGCCACACCCGGGACCAAGAGCCCCACATGCTACATCTTGTGGAATCCTCAACAGCCTGATGAGGTAGGTGCACTATAATTACTCCAATTTCACAGCTGGAAATCCTGAGACTCAGAGACAGAAGGATCTTGTCCCAAAGACACCAGCAATGCCTGAGTCAGGATCCTTACCCAGGTTGCCATGTTGCCGCCCTGTCCACCAAACCCTGGACATGAGGCCCTGCAAACTGACTGCATAACTGTGACCTAATGGACTTATACTTTTTGCTTGTTTTTACTGAAGCAAAATCACATTAAAAGTAAAGTTTATATCACTGTCCTGAGTAGAGAATGGCCTCCCTGGCCATATTCAAAAGTTATAGGGAAAAAAATAAACCTCATAGGGAACTCAAAGTGAGGTGTTCATTGGGTTGGACCACTGGAAATCACCTCCACTTGGCCCTTTTGGTTTTTGTTTGTGGTAGTGCTGGGGATTGAACCTAGAGCCTTGGTGCATGCTAGGCAAGCACTCTACCAACTGAGCCACATCCCCAGCTACTTGGCCCTTTTGGACCTCTCTTAATTAGCTAGTGCAGATAGTTTGGCTAATGCATGTCAGGTTGCCTGTGGAAAGCGTCTGCGGTCTTCTGGGTTTTTTTTGTTGTTGTTGTTTTAATGTTTGTCTTTTAGTTGTAGGTGGACACAATAACTTTTATTTTGTTTTTATTTAGTGGTGGTGCGGAGGATCGAACCCAGTGCCTTACATGTGCTAGGCGAGCCCTCTACCGCTGAGCTACAACCCCAGCCCTGGTTTTTGGTTTTGGTATCAGGGATTGAACTCAGGGGTACTCAACCACTGAGCCACATCCCCAGACCATTTTGTATTTTATTTAGAGACAGGGTCTCACTGAGTTGCTTAGCACCTCATCATTGCTGAGGCTGGCTTTGAACTCAAGATCCTGCTTCAGCCTCTCGATCTGCTGGGATTGCAGGTGTGTTCCCCTGTGCCCAGCTCTCCTCTGGTTTTAAAAGTGAACTCAACTGAGCGTGGTGGTGCACACTATAATCCCAGCTACTCAGAGGCTGAGGCAGGATGATCACAAGTTCAAAGCCAACCTGGGCAATTTAGGATCCCAAGTTCAAGGCCAGCCTGGACAAAATAAAGTTAAAAGGGCTGGAGGTGTAGCTTAGTGATAGCACGCTTACCTAGCACACGCAAGGTCCTGTTTCCATCTAAATTAAAATTGAAAAAAAAATTTAAAGTGAGCTCAGTGAGGACTAGGTGTTAAAATCATATTAATATCATCATGAGAATTTTATACTTGACAAAATCAGTATTTAAAGACAACTGGGCCCCGCACGGTGGCCCAGCAGCTCCAGAGGCTAAGGAAGGAGGATTGCAAGTTCAAAGCCAGCCTCATCAAAGGCGAGGCACTAAGCAGCTGAGTGAGACCCTGTCTCTAAAATACAAAATAGGGCTGGGGATGTCGCTCAGTGGTCAAGTGCTCCTGAGTTCAATCCCGAGTATCAAAAAAAAAAAAAAAAAAAAGACAATTGGATGGCAACTCCATTTCTGACTTTGCAATTTAATGTCACTTATACCTCCTTTCTGTCTCATCTAAAATCATGCTCCACCCCTCCCCCCATGACTTCTGTCCCTAATTCTTAAGAACCATGGGTCAGTCCCAATGCTTCTCATGCGGGCAGGGATACTCCTGGGGGCATAAGGGACCTCCTGCTGTAGCTAAGAATTAATAAGAACTTTCCACTTAGAGTGTTGTCTCTGTGCCAGCTGCAGAACTGCAGGTTCAAATGCAGGGTCTTGGTGGATCTCCTGGCTGCCCAGGGCCTGAGGAACCGCTACAGCCGGCCCTCCACACCCACAGGTTGTATCTGAGGATTCAACTAACTACAGATGGAAAATATTCAGGAAAAAAAAGTTGCTTCTGTACTAAACTTTTCTTCTCCTCATGATTCCCTAAACAATACAGCATCAACCACTGGTTGTAGCATTTGCATTTGATTAGGTATTATAAGTCATCTAGAAGAAAATTTAAATTGTAGAGGAGGGTTGTGTCAGTTATATGTAAATACTGTGTGCCATTTTATATATGGGTCCCGAGCATCCCTGGATTTAAGTGTCTTTGTGGGTCCCAGAACCAGCCCCTGATGGATATCAGGAGACAGCTGTACTCTTCCTTCTTGACAACAGGGAAAACTGAGACTGGTGACTTGCATGAAAGTGGCCCACTCAGGATGGACTGTCTGTCCCACTGGCCACTGCTGTGCCTGCCACACTCATTGTTCAGTTATTGAGCACCTACTGTGTGTCAGGCACTGTGCTAGACCCTAGGGATGCACCTTTGGATAAAGTAGTTAAGGTGCCTGTAGTCAAAGGAGCTTACAGTTTAGGTAGAGATATTTCTAAAAAGAAATGTAAACACAAGCAAATATAAAGAGAAATGCATAGCGATCATTGCTCTAATGAAAATCATTGGGGGGGGGTGTCATAGTGAATGCCTGGGGTCCAGATGGGGTGACATTAGACCAGGTAGCCTGAGAAAACCTCTCTGAAGAGGTGACATTTGAGCTGAGCTCTCAAAATCAAGGACCCGATATGTGACTTGTAGATTCTGAGCCCTGTCTGGTAGAATATTAACATGGCCTTTATCTGAACTGCCCAATACGATAGCCACTGGCCACTTGGGCAGTTGAACATGTGGCTGACATCACTGAAGAACTGGATTTTTCATTGTTTCTTGTGTGTGTGCTCCTGGGGATGGAACCCAGGGCCTCACACAGAGGCAAGTGCTCTACCTGAGCTACAGCCCCAGCCTTTCACTTCATTTTCATTAATTTAAATCTGAATACTCACAAATGGCTAGTGGCTACTATCTTGAACAGCATAGTTACAGATAAAGCACTGTCTAGAAAGAGGAAAGAGCAGGGATGAGGTCTGGGGTGCTTGAAGAACGGGTGCATGAGGCGGGAGTGGAGGGATCCAAGAGCAGAGAGGCAGGGATGGACAGAGAGGCTGGCGAGGGCCAGATGGAGCAGGAGCCTCCAAATCTTGGCCAGGTTTTTGGATTTTACTTCAAAGAAGTCGAGCCTGGTAATGACATGGCCTGACATTCCTTGTTGGAGACTCCTTAGGCTGGACTGGAGAGACGCCAAAGTGGCAGCTTTTAGGTACTGTTGGAATTGTTCGGGCTGGAGAAGGTGGCGCTTGGACCAAGATGGTGGCAGGGAGCTGGAGAAAACTGGATATTTTGGAGATAAGACCAACAGAACTTGTTGGAGGTGAGGGACGAAGGAAAAAGGGGAAGCAAAGATGAGTCCCAAGTTTGGGGCTGAGCGTTGAGGAGTTCAGAATCTAGAAGACACATGTCTGGTCCTTGATCTTGAGAGCCCAGCTCAAATGTCACCTCTTCAGAGAGGTCTTCTCAGGCCACCTGGTCTAATGTTGCCCCATCTGGACCCCAGGCATTGCCTATGATATCCCCCAAAGGGTGGGAAAGATGGGAAGGAACAGTTTTGGTTGAGAAAAATCAAGTTGGGGACACAAGGTTTAAGATGAATATAAAGCTCAGGAGTTGTTAGCATTCGAGTTTCTACCTTAGGGAAGAGCTTGGAGCTGGAGATGTGGATTCATGAGTGGTTTGCCTCAGAGACACCCAGTAAATACCTGTCAAAAAGATGGATGGATGATGGATGGATGGACGGACGCTGCCTGGGAGGTCAGCCTCTCTTCCACCTTCTCCATCCCTGGGGGTAATGATAAGACAGGTGGAGAGGTCAGGCTTTGCTGACCTAAAAGAAACATTCTCATTCCATGAAATCTTCTTTCACCCCCCCCCCCCACTGGATGATTTGCCACATCTGTAAAAAAAAAAAAAAAAGAAGAAGAAACCGGGCTGGGGGTGTGGCTCCGTGGTAGAGCGCTTGCCTAGCAGATGTGAGGCACTGGGTTCCATTCTCAGCATCACATATAAGCAATTAAATAAATAAATAAAAGGTCCATCAATAACTAATAAAAATATTTTTTAAAAAGAAGAAGAAACGTTTGCCCTGATTCCTATCCACCAGGTAGGACATGTCAACTCCTACAGACCAAAAACTGAACCATCAGTTCCTCATCACCCAGAACAGCAGCCTGACTTCTTCCCCAAGCCCAGGAACCTCCGCCTCGGCCTCGTCTCCCCCCGGGACCCCAGTTCTCTAACAATCTCTCTTCTTCCCCAGGCATCTCCCGGGAGTCGCCCAAGATCCTCAACAGCACCAACGGGACCAGTGGGTTTCTCCCCGGGGGCTACACCTGCCTCCCCCACTCCCAGCCCTGGCAGGCTGCCCTGCTCGTGCGAGGACGGCTGCTCTGCGGGGGGGTCCTGGTCCACCCCCGATGGGTGCTCACGGCAGCACACTGCCGGAAAGAGTATGTGGGACCTGGGAGCGTGGGGTGGACACGAGAACGGGACTGGGGTGGCCGGTGGTCAGGAGTTGGATTTAATGGCAAGGCTGGAGTTAGGGCTTGGGGGTGAGAATGAGGTTGGCTGGGAGATGTGGAGGGTGCAGGATGACCGCCCAGGAAGAGGTGGGCGGGGCTGGAGCTGAGGATGTGTTTGGAGACAGAAAGGTGGGGGCAGGGAGGGCGAGAAGGGTTGGGGAAGAGATGGGGCTGGGCATGGAGAAGGCTCATGCTGTCCCCTAACCACTCCTTCCTGCGCCCGCAGTGGGTACAGAGTTCACCTGGGCAAGCACGCCTTAGGGCTCGTGGAGACCGGCCAGCAGGTGCGGGAGGTGGTCCGCTCTGTCCCCCATCCTGAATACCTGGTCAGCCCCACCCACCTGAACCATGACCACGACATCATGCTGCTGGAGCTACAGTCCGAGGTCCAGCTCACCGACCACATCCGCACCTTGCCCCTTTCCCAAGTCGACTGCCTGCCCCCTGGCACCTGCTGCCGGGTGTCCGGCTGGGGCACCACCACCAGCCCCCAGGGTACGTCCACACTGGGCCTGTGACCCACAGGAGTGGCTGGGGAAGCCGGGCCACCATGAGGGAAGGGCGGAGGAGAGACCCTTTATGTATAAAAATGTAAATAATTACAAAGGGACATGTTATATATATATGAATATATACAAAAATATAAATATATTGTCTAATATAGTAATGTTCTTATAAATATATGTTGTCAAGTTATAATTTATGTCCCATAGGTTGAGTAAAGTTTATAAATGTTATATATTTAAATATATAAATTATGTTTGAATACATAATTATAAATGAATTTATATTTTACAATACATTTAAATTATAAATACATAATTATATGTTTTATAATAATAAGTAACATGTATTTTTATAAGCATGCATTTAGTAAATGCAATAAAATATAAATTAGACATCCTTATATGTATGAATAGCATAGCACAATCCACAGGGCACTGGGTCTCTGGGGCAGTGTCCCCTCGAATTTTGGCGTCTTCCCCACAGGTACCATCACTGCCTCCCCCTCCTCCCCCCTCCCAGTCCTCCCCTTCCTCCCCCCACCTCTCTACTGCATCTCCCCTCTTTCTGTGGGGCTCCCTGGGCACAGGCCCCACCTCTTCCCCTCCCACCTCCACTCCCCACCACCTCTTGGCCCCTGTGGCTCTCCTGGGCAGCCTCCACCCCATTTCCACCCAGAACACTCAGACTGTCTCTCTCCTCCTCAGTGAGCTACCCCCAAACCCTACAGTGCGCCAACATCCAGCTGCGCTCGGATGAGGAGTGTCACCAGGTCTACCCAGGGAAGATCACGGCCAACATGCTGTGCGCCGGCACCCCAGAGGGCGGGAAGGACTCCTGTGAGGTGAGACCAGGGGCTGGGGGTGCCCGGCCAGGATGGGAAGTGGAGCTGGGGCAGGTGTGGGGGAAGGGTCTGCTCCCGACCTTGGGGAAACCTGTCCTTGTGAGGCGAGATGACCTCTAGCTTAAGGGTGTCAGGACTAAAGGTACCCAGGGACGGCACATAGAATTCATCTCAAGCTTCAGCTTTGACCAAGGAGCTGCCCAGGTCCCTGCATCAAGATGCATGAAGGTTGAGATTATTCCAATTGTGACAGAAACCCAGCTCCCAATGGCTTCAGCAAAACAACAAAACCCTGGATTTTTGACATTGAAAATCCAGAAGTGGCTGCCTTCAGGCACAGATATACCCAGGTGTTCAGAGCATGTTTTGGGAACTCTGTCTCTCTCTAGCTTTTCTCTTCTGGGCCTCATTCTCAGCCAGTGCTTCCCCTGCAACGCTGGACAGCCCAGCAGCTTAGGGCTTGCACCTACCCTCTTAAGAACCCTGTTGGACCGAGAGAACACCTCTTTTCCAATAGCTGAAACAAGTGTCTTGGGCACCATTCTCACTAGGCTGACCTGTCATGTGTCCTGAACCATTGCCCTGGCCTGCGCTGTGGGAGCCAGAGAGGACTGGGGGCCAGTGGCCTGGGTTGAGAGAGAATGGGGGAGCTCCCACACAAAAGTCAGGAGGCTGTTGCTAAACCAAGGGAAAGAGATACCAGGGGCAGGCAGAACAATAGAGAGGCTCCTCCTCCTCCTCCTCCTCCTCCTCCTCCTCCTCCTCCTCCTCCTCTTCCTTCTTCTTTTAACAAAGAAATGCTTTGTTAATACCAACATGCTCAGACTGTAAAGCACTAAGAAATTTAAATATCCAGGTCATGGCATACTGGTGGCAGAGTCAACCGAGCACTTGAGGGGGACAGCAGCAGGTTAGGTGCCACGGTGGGTGAAGGGCCCGCTGCAAGTTCCCAAGTCCTCTCCCCTCCCAGGCATCAAGAGGGTGGGGGTGCAGCCTGCTGCCCTCCAGGCACATCAAGACAAGGGAGAGAAGCTTTCTGTTTCTGGACTGGTGTCATCCAAGGCTTTTGACTTTCTAGTCTTCTTAGTCATCGTTTTGGCAGAGAAGCTAGGTTGCTCTTGTCCGAGAGTCTGTTAGTCTTGACTGTAGCTCTGTTGGCAGTTCCCAAAGCCTCCCTGGGAATTTTAGGTAAAAACGTCAAATATTTCACCAATCTGTGGCGTTGAAACCTGAGATCTCCCCTCTAAGTCTCTGATGCAGGCCCAGACCCCAGCTTCTGCCCACCCTTCAGCGCCACACGGCTGCCTGGTTCTCCATTTACCTTATCAAGAAAGATCAGAGTAGCCATTCTGGATTATTTCAAAACTGTGCCCATAGAGAGGCTGCTGAGAGAGTTTTGGTTCAGTGGGGAAGGGTATGATGGTGAATGAATGACGTGAGCCTTGTTGCATTAGTAATGTCTGCTTGGGCGCCAGGTGGAGGTGCATGGGTGTGGCATACCCTGTCATGCCTGACTGTGCTAAGTCAGTAGGGACATGGCACAAAGCAGCTGAGCTGGTGCCAGGTATAAGCTGTCTCCATTTTTTTGGCGGGGGAGGGTACCAGAGATTGAACCCATGGTTGCTTAACCACTGAGACACACCCCCAGCCCTTCTTACAGATATTTTGGGCTGGGGATGTGGCTCAAGCAGTAGTGAGCTCGCCTGGCATGCGTGCGGCCCAGGTTCAATTCTCAACACCACATACAAACAAAGATGTTGTGTCCGCTGAAAACTAAAAAATAAATATTAAAAAATTCTCTCTCTCTCTTAAAAAAAATTATATATATATATATAATTTAGAGATAGGGTCTTGCTGAGTTGCTTAGGGCCTCACTAAGTTGCTGAGGCTGGCTTTGAAATTGTGATCCTCCTGCCTCAGCCTCCCTAGCTGCTGGGATTACAGGCGTTTGTCACCACACTTAGCATCCCCTTTTAATAAGAATAAAGAATAGAAGAATAGAGAAAAACAGAAATGCAGACACCGATCTCTGTCCCTATCTCTCTGTCTCGGGATCTTTCTTTGTAGTCTTCTTCCCACTGTCTGCCTGCGCCCCTTGCTGACTTCTCTTTCTCAGTGTCTTGCCTTCTCTGTGTCTGGCTCTGTCTCTGACTCCCGGTCTCTGCGTGTCTCTCCGTCTTCCACTCTCCCCCATCTCTGCCTTCGTGTGGCCCTAGCCACAACCCTGTTTCTTCTACCCCCTCAGGGCGACTCCGGGGGTCCCCTGGTCTGCAACCACACGCTCCACGGCATCATCTCCTGGGGAGACTTCCCCTGCGGACAGCCCAACCGGCCTGGCGTCTACACCCGCGTCTCCAAGTACGTCCAGTGGATCCGTGAAACAATCGGGGAACCCAGAAGCCAGGAGCAGAAGGGGACCAAGGGCGCTCAGTAGCCGCTGGACGGAGCTACCTGTCCTCCTCCCGCCACGCCCCCCACCTTGCTCAGCCCACCTCTGTCCCTTCCGCCCGGAGTGCGGCATCTGAACCACTGGTCCCTGTTCTCAAAATGTACCTGAAGGGCCAGGTTTCAGGACCCCTCAACGGCCAGCCATGCGGCCTCCCAGATACTGCACCCCGGACAGACTCTAATGACTCGCACTGGGATAGCACCCCGGGTCTCCCAGGTCACTGAGGCCCCCAGGTGGACCCCTGTGCGCTCTGCCTGCGGCGACATCTGTAAATCCCTCCGCCCGCGAACAGACCCCCTTGACCCGCCCTTGACCCTCGAGTGTTCACTCAGTGCCAGGGCAGCAGGTCCCGCCGCCCCACACTCGAGGAGGTGCCGACTCCCACGAGATTTCTTCCTGAAAATCCCTTCTGCCCAGAATCTTCATCCCCGACAACACTCTGGGCGCCCCTGAGTGGCTCGTCCAGCTAACTCGGGATCCTCAGAATGGTCACTCACCTGCCCTGGGCCTCACAGACGTCCTAACCCGCCCCCCCCCCCCCCCCCCCCCCCCCCCGCCACCTCCGTTCTGAATGCCCGCCCATGCCAACGTCCCCTCTCTCTGAATCCCTGTCCCCACTAAGGATCAATGGCACACCAACCTCCACAGTGATGGGTTCAGTATCCCCAAGGGCCAGTGTGCTGGGCCACCGAGTTTTCTGTCCTGCATCTCTGTCTTGAGTTTCCCCCGAGAACATCTGTGGTCAATGTCCCTTGTTTTTCTGTCGTTGCCGTGACCTCAGACGTGCAGGGGCTCCGTATTCAGCTCCTGGAGTCTGCTTAATGCCATCCCCCAAGTCGTGAAACTCGGAGCCTCTTTGTGTTCTCATCTGTAAAGTGGGCTCTTAATTCCTCCTCCTAGCGTTGTTAGAAACGTGTGTGTTGAACGCTCACCACTATTATTATTTCCATATAAATACTACTTTCAGATGTACAACTCCTCCCATCTGCAGAGCGCCCAAGAAAAAGTTAGGGGCATTTATTTTTCTTATTCAGTGCCAACCACATGCCAGGATTCTCCCGAGTGTTGGGAAGCACAACTTTGTTATTTATTCAACAAATACTGGTGCCTATTATGAGTCACGCACGGGAGCAGGCACAGGTGATAAGCCCTGAAGTGAACAGACACAAACTTCTGCACTTGTAGAGCTTATGTTCATGGGGAGAAACCATAAAAAACGAAGAGCATAAAAATAAGCTGTCAAGTGATAATTTAAGCAATGACCAGAAAAATAAATAATGGAAGGAAGCAGGGAGGAAGGATAGGGAACGCTGGGTTGGAGAGGGGACTGGGCTAGAGAGGCTGTTTTGAACAGGATGGTCAGGGAGGAGGATCTGAGAGGGTAACATTCAAAAACAGGAGCCGGTGGCATATCTGAGGAGCAGCAGGCCAAGCTGCAGGCACAGCAGGTGCAAAGGCCTTGAGGCAGCAGCCCATGTAGTGTGCCTGGAGATCAGTGAGGAGGCTGGTGTGGCTGCAGCCACCATGAGCAAGGAGGAGAGAGAGCCAGGCAAGGGTGGAGGGAACGGGGCTGCTTGGGGTCTTGTGGGCCACAGGGAGACTTGGCTTTGACCCTGAGTAAACTGGGCCCCCAGGGAGGGCTCTGAGCAGGGAAGGGCTGTGAGCTGACCTGGGTGTGGACTGGATCTCTCTGGCTGCTGTGTGGGGAACAGGCTCAGGAGGCTAGAGGAAGCCCCGTGAGGAAGTGCCCCTGACCGCCTAGGCTGGAGGTGACGAATCCTGCAGCGGAGTGATGGCCTTAGAGGAGCCGAGCAGAGTTCTGCTTGGTGGGATTGTTGGAGGCACCTGACATGGAGCCCGGGAGTGTGCGCAGGAGAGAGTCAGAGAGACCCTCAGACCGGGTCTGAGTGCGGGGAGCATGGGGGCCGGGTCAGGGAGTTTGTTTGGGACAGCCAACTGTAAATAGGCCTGGCCTTCGGGGAATTTACAGAAAATAAAGCTACAAATGCGGTCACAGACTGCAGTGATCTCTGTTTGTTTCCATGAAGGACATAAACAGGGTTTCGTGTTAGAGAATAGGTGGTCCAGGAGGGCCTCTCGGAGGAGGCAGCTGCTGGGGACCGCCTCCTCCGAAAGAGGGAGCTGCCGGGCAAGTCCCCGAGGGTGGGGGTTAGCCTGTCCTGGGACTGAGGGAAGGCGGGGAGTGACGGGATATCATCATCATATTTCCTTTGGCTTTTGCCCCTGGCTCCTGGCTCACGGCTCCGGGACCTGTTATTTCCTGCGTCACTAGAGAAATAGAATGTCTTTGTTAGAGCATTTGACTTTTTGTCCTTGGTTCCTGAAGCTGCCCCAGACCAGCTTCAGAGTCACCAATATAAAGGACATGCCTGTGCTGTCCACTAGTCCTTCCAAAGCACAGCTGAATTTAGGTCAAGAGGAGAGTTTGGGAGAGTCCCTAGAAAACCATTGGGGGTGGGGGGCTGGTTGCCCGGGGATCAGCCTCCTGCTTTAAAGGCTGAAGTTCCAGGGAGGGGCGAGGGCTGAGGTCTCAGTGGGTCACAGTGGCTGCGCTGATCCATCATGCCTGTGTAATGAGCAACCCAAACAAAAACAAGGAAACAGATTGGACGCAGAGCTTGCAGTGGCTGAGCACACCCAGGAGGGTGAACAAGAGCACATCGGGGTGCCACTGGGGCGCACCCCAACTCAAGGGACAGAGCACCTGAGCTGGGGCCCTTCCAGACCTCGCCCTGAGCATCTCTTCATCCGGCTGCTTGTTTATTTGTATCCTTTAAAATATTCTTTGTAGCCGGGCACGGTGGCGCACGCCTGTAATCCCAGCAGCTCAGGAGGCTGAGGCAGGAGGATCGCCAGTTCAAAGCCAGCCTCAGCCAAAAAACAAGGCGCTAAGCAACTCAGTGAGACCCTGTCTCTAAGTGAAATACAAAATAGGGCTGGGGATGTGGCTCAGTGGTCGAGTGCCCCTGAGTTCAATCCCCGGTACCAAAATACATATTTGTAATCTTGGCAATCAACTGGTAAAGGTGCTTCCTTGAGTTTTCTGAGCTACTCTAACAAATCAATTGGATGTCAGGAAGGGGTTGTGGGAACCCCGATTCACAGCCTGTTGGTAAAACAACCTGGGGCTGTGGCTGGCGGCTGAGGCCAGCAGCGGGTGGGGGGCAGTTTGGGGACCTGAGCTCTTAATTTATGGGATCTAACCCTGTCTGCAGGGAGAAGAGAGGCGACCTCCTCCAACTCCATGTGTCAGAACTGAGTTGGGTTAGAGGACACCCGGCTGACTTGCTGGTGGGGAGAAACACCACACCTTTTGGAGTCACAGAAGTGACAAGTGTTGGCTGCTGTCACGTGAGCTCAGAGGAGAAACCGAGTCTGAGTTTTAGAATGAGATTGGAGGATCCAGCTGGAGGCACGTGTGCAGGACGTTTTTAGGCCACGTTAGAAGAGCTCCTCTTTATTCGGGTGTGCTGGGGAAGCCCTGAGGAGCAATGAACAGGGGACGAGTCTTACCTGAGATGCACCCTCTCTCTGGCTGCTGGGTGAGGTGATGGGGGAGCTGGGAGGTGAACCTGGGGCCCCCTGTAGTAATCCACTGTCAAGGTGACGGTGTGGCTGCCAACAGATGAAGAGCTGTCGTGGATCCGCAGAGGAGTGCAGTACCATCCAAGGGCGTCAAGTCTGTCAGTCACAGGAATCCAGCCATGGTGAATACTGAATCAGCAAATACCGAAATAGTGCTCCCAGGGAGAAGTACAGAATGAGGGTCCTGCCAGCCACCCTGCTTTTGTCAACCCATCAAGTATGTTTCTGTTGAAAGACACCTGATTTAATATATAGCATTATTCATCCACATTGAAGTGACAGCCGAGGGCACTAAACAGCCAGAAGGAAGGTCATCTAGTGTGTGAGTCCGTGTCACAGCCTTCTTGCCCTTGGGAGCACTACACAGTCCTTCGGCACTAAACTTGGGGGACACTTTAAAAACAGCAAAATCACATGTGCACACACACAAGGACAAAAAGGAAACCTGACACTACCAAGACCAGGCAAAGGACGCTTGGTTAAGGGGTGACAGCTGAAATACAGAGGCAGAGCCCCGGCTTGCTGGAGGAGCTGGGATCCTGCGTGTGGCATGTCAGACTCCACCAGGCTGCGTGTCCACAGTGACCATGAAAGCCCCACAATGATTGGTTTGAGGGCATCTCGAGTTTTTATCAAGTGGGCATATTAAAAAATACTGAATTAGTGAGTAGTCAGACTGACGGTGGCTGAGGGGTGAAAAGGGAGTGGAGGATAACTCCCTGGTCATCCCAGTTCTCACCAGGAGAGCTTAGCCCTCAGCACCCTCAGCTCTGCACACTCGGATTCCACCAACCTCAGATTCAAAATAAGTTTTAAAAGTTGTGTCTGGCTGAGCGTGGTGGTGCACGCCTGTAATCCCAGCAGTTTAGGAGGCTGAGGCAGGAGGATCGCAAGTACAAAGCCAGCCTCAGCAACTTAGGCAGACCCTGTCTCTAAATAAAAAATAAAAAGGGCTGGGGATGTGGCTCAGTGGTTAAGCACCTGGATTTAACCCTGGTACCAAGAAAAGAAAAAAAAAAAGCCGTACACATACAGACTCTTTTCTTGATGTTATTCCTAAACAATACAGTACAGCCCCTGTTTGAGGCTGGGGATGGAGCTCCATATCGAGTGCATGCGCAAGGCCCTGGGTTTGATACCCAGACCAAACCAAATCAGTACAACACCTGTTTACACAGCACTTATATTAAATATTATAAGTTATCTACAGATGATTTAATGAATACTGGGGGTGTGCCTAGGACATATGCAAATACTATACCACTTTCTTTTTTAATATTTTTATTTGTAGATGGACATAATTGGTTTTTAAATTTCTATGTGGTGCTGAGGATAGAACTCAGTGCCTCACACATGCTAGGCAAGTGCCCTACCACTGA